TTATGAAGTACCCAACACCCTCCACACAGTGATTTCAACACAAGCAGGAACTATCCCACTTCTCAAAGGATCAGACATGGGGGCATGATCTTACACTACAGAAATCTACTCACCTGGTTATTCAGATTTACAACATTGTACCTAGGAAAGTCAGGTCACCGATTTTTGCATCTGGTTTGAAATAGTAGCAGGAGCAAATCCACAATTAATAAGGCAAAAGAAAGAAGTAGCTTATAAAAAGAAGGAGGAAATACATTCTCCGGCTGAGAAATTCTTGGACTTTCAAAGCCACAGAACAGACATTGTTAAAAGCACAGGTATTTTCCCTGATTTTTCCACCACTGTTGCCTGCTCACTCCATATAAGCCCCTCAACTTAAGTCAGGCAAAATATCTCATATTTCCAGTCTGTCCTGAATTTATGACAAAGAAATCAAATATAGCAGCACAATGTGCTGTGCCAACAGCTGACAGACAAGAATCCTGGAACTCTAGTAAAAGTGGTGGATATTGATCACTGCTGAACTTGTCAGGTCTGTCCACCAGCCTGGAGGGATGCATTTGTAAATTGAGAAGAAACACTTGAGAATAGGCCTCAGGTTAAACTGCCATATGTACACACAGCCTCCAGTCACCACTTACTGTCCCTTTACAGCTAGCAATCTGCTAATGCAGAAGGTTGTCGCTCTTTCACCCCAGGTCAGAAAACATTTGCAAAGCTTACCCTGCTTATGGTTAGAAGTAGCAGTAATAGGCATGGCATGTGCAGCCATGGAAAGGCCACAAGAGTCAGCAATCAAACCAGCATTTACCCAGGGACTTGTTGAGGAACATTTTCCTCAGCTTAACTGACTCCTTACTCTGACAATCAAGGTAAGAACCTGGTCCTTCACCATCAGTCTCTAGACGACAATCCCTCATTTCAGAGTAAAAGAGTTTTGCTCAACTGGGGTCTTGTGCATTTTGACCCACAAATACATTCCACTGACTTCAATGATGTTTAAGTATTTGATGAAGAGCTTTCTGAATTGAGGCCTCTTCCCTTTTAACTTGAAAGGTAATTACCCTTAATACAAACTTTTATTACTAAATGCTCGTAGGTTTATGTGGTATCTTCTTATAACTGCCAAATGTGATGGGAACTGGTGCCTATGGACTTTAGGTGGATCTAGGTAAATTCTGCAGTTCAAACCTAGCCATCCCCCAAAGAGATCTATGTTGCAAAAGAATCGATCCTACTCTCTGCCAAGATCACTGGCCAAATTCAAGCAGTTCAACTGGCAAACACTCCTAAGTATGCTTTCTTTTTTACTTTTCCTGTGGCTATATTCTTTACAGTCTAGGGTACCTGGATAATATAGTTGTCAAGATAACCTTGAAAATAGAGCAATGGCAGAACTGATGGAGTAACAACTGCTTGAGATGCAGTGTTAAAAAGTCAGCTCAGAGATATTAGCTACTCTGCTCAGATACAAATGCTAACCCTGTTGACACTGTAAGAACTGCTCACTAAAGCATGCAAGACAGAACAAGCCTACTATGAGTATCTGCACAACCAGTTGAGGGTGACAAATGATTTTGTGACATTGACTGGGCCTAGGAGAAAACAAATTACCCAAGCTGAGAATTGGCCACATTCACAAATTCCAAGGAAGAACCTCTGTTCACCTCCATATAGTTAGACTCAAGAAACTCAGTGTGGAACTGAGCTATGTCAAACAATAATCAGAGGCCAGGTTTGTTCTGTAATTCAATTGCTGCTAGGAGCATTCTTATCAATGAAGCTTGGAAAAAAAACCAGCATTTCTTCCTGTGCCATTATAACCTCTCCAGCTAAGATTACAAGACACAAAAGATGAAGATCAAGAGCAATGTTTCTTCTCTCAGACCTATATGCCTCTCCAAGACAAGGAGTCCAGCTTTATCCAGCCACAACATCTGTTCTTGAGAAAATGCTGAATTGAAACAGTCAAGGTAGAATGGGAGACAGTGTTAATCAGTCTGAAATAGCATATATAAAATTAATTTTTCTTGTCTTAATGTTGAGGTTTCAGCCACATTGAACACAATGTACATTCTCACTAGCTATCCCGGCAACCAGAATTTGAGTATGGACAAGATCTTATAGATCTATTTCTGATTAATGAAGGGCCTTCCCCCTGCCTCCCTCTGTGATTATTTTTCAAATTGCTTATTTTAAGCAAATACAACTTTAGCATTGCTCCTGCAGGTTTGTTCTAAGCCCCCTTTTTCTAGCTGTGCATCCATCTGATCCATCAGCTACAGACAGTAGCCCATTTGAAGCTGGGTTAATAAATCCACTATACTGCACACTAAAAATGTGTTCCTTAATATTAATGCTATTGGGCTGCCTGCACATTATTAGCATTCAGATACAGTAAGGACTGTATTAGGAGCTGATACACTAAGAAAACAGTACTGCAAATACAGGAAAAACATCAGGATCATGTACAGCTCCACTTTAAGAGCACATGAGATTATAAAAAAAAAAAAAAAAGTTTGGAAAAAAGAGACTATCATTTTTAAATGCAGTAGTCACCAATATGAAATCTCCACCTTTATGTCTCTGGACAATCAACTCTTCCATGGGTTAGAAAACGTTGAGAAAATTGCCCCACTTTGTCATTTCCTGTTTATTTTGGAGACATAAATATCTAAAGCAAGTATAATCTTAACTTCATAAACTGAATAGCTGGTGTTACTTTTCCATCAGGTATTTGCATGTCAAAGAGCCACATACAAGTTTGCCTCTGCCTTCCCATCTCATTCCAACTTTAACTGTATGTTTAAAGCAATTCTTACCAAAACTTAGACTTTCTGCCCATTCTATCTCTACAAATGAGGTAGTCAAGGGTAAAACAAAACAAACCAACCAGAAACTGGATAAGCTGGATGGGGCTTTGATTAACCTGATTTAGTGGAAAGTGTCCCTGCCCATAGCAGGGGGACTGGAACTAGATGACCTTTAAGGTCCCTTCCAACCCAAACCATTCTGTCAAATTAAGTAACTGTACATTCCTCAAATTCTTCTTTATGACCCAGTTTACCTATGATGCTAACAGTTTACCAAGTAGCTAATATCCCTCTGTCCTCTGACTTAGATTAAGAAGGATAATTTCACTGTCTTATTTCCTGCCAACCTCCACTTCCACTTCACCCAGTTGTATCTTATGCTTTTAGCTTGGAAATCTTTTAAGTCAAAGCACAAAATGAAATGTGTATGGTTTTCTGCCTTACACTTGTTAGTATGGCAACAAGAATAAATAACCAACAAAGATGGGATGGGGCCGAAACCCTAATGGAGAAATAGGGAGAGGCAGTGATAGCACACGGTTCAACACAGGGGTGTAAATGGGAGGACACAAAATATTTCCTGTGATGGTATTTGGCCTCATGTCAGAAAACACAGTACTGAAAGCTACAATTAGGAGGTCCCTCCAAAAAACCAACCTCAAGCCCCAGCAAATAGACATGTGAGATGGAAGGCACCTTGGCATACAGGATGCACCTAACACACACACACACACACACACACACACATATATATATATAATGTATTTGAGAGGCTTAAAAACCAAACCTAAAATAAACAATATCCCCAAACAGAAAACTAACAAACAAAACCACAAAGCTCAAGAAGCCATTTTCAGTAGGAAAATAATGTTCCTGATCAGAAAAAGGAAGTTTTTTTGACTTCTGTACAAAAAGAACTAAAATGTATTTCTTGTATACAAATGTTGATGAAGACTTTCCAGTTGCAAAAAATGGGAGGTCCTTGTTAGAAAGGAACAATAATAATTCCAGTAGCTACATCAGACCCAATAACCAGTGGCAAGTTACTTGTTAATCACGCACACAGCTCTTAGTCTGGGAGTGACTACTTCCAATATAAAAAAATAAAGTTGATGAAGGTAATTTCAGAAGTTGTATTCACCTCTGACCAGTGACAAAACTCTTTAAAAAAGCCAAGCATGGGAAAAACCAAAAGCAAATGCACATTTTAACTGCAGCATGATTTTCTACTATTGCGTTCAATAGAGGGAGCACCAGAATAAGCCAAAGATTAATTTCCATAATTTCTCATGAAACTGTGAAAGTGAGGTTATTAACAATAAGTTCTTCTTAAGACTGTATTGTTTGTTTCACACCAAAAAAGAGAAAAAGTAAAATTTAAACCAAAAACTGGATTGAAAGTAAGAGGGAAAAGAAAACAAAATTTGGTTTAAGATCCTTCTTGTCTGGCCAGCTACCATATTAGATGGTTGTGCAAACCACTGTATTCTAGTACAAAAATAGTAAACTTAGGAAAAAACATAAGAAGGCATTCTTACCTATAGATACCTTAATTATATCATCAACCAAAGATTCATGAAGTCAAAACATTACACTCTATGACGGTGAGAGTATATTTTGGTTCTTGTATTTGCTGTATTTATTGATTGTTTGCAAATATGTTTTAACACGTCTATCTCCTCACTTTTAATGTCCAGCTTTACCCAAATTGTAATCTTAAATGAGTTCTAAACATGGAAGCTAAGAAACTTATTCAGTGACAGGATAAGGATCAGAAATCTCTCCAAACGTAAATGCTCTTGTTTCATATAAAAAAACCCAAACAAAAACCACAAAGCCAAAAGGAGGATTTAAATCACTCTGCAAGATATGACCCTTCTTATTCACGAGAGTTGGTAAAAGTTCTTGAGAGTATCTCCAAAATACATGGAAAAGGTTAGAAAGCAATAAGCATGTTTTCCAAGAAGCATTTAAAAAAAACCCAAAAAGAAACAAACCTATATACATTAGCTTAAAATTACTTGCAAAAATAACAGGCTATCATAGAATTTTGGGACATAGGAATAGATTTGGTTCCATACATCCAATGAGACTCCAGGTCCCATATTCATCCCACAGAGATGAATTAGGTTTCAAATAAAAATTAACCTCAAGATAGAAAGGCGACTCAAGGTCGGAGGTTTCCTGTCATGTTTTATTTAACAAAACATTCCAAAGGCAAAGACCTTTCTTTACTCAACCATTACTGCCTCACCTTCAACAGAATGAGAGGTATCCTGTTTTGTGACATATCGAAGCAACATCTCTACGCAGTATTGTCCACAATGTCTTTAAGATAACAGCATGCTATGAAGAGGAAGGCAACTACTCCCATTCCTAGAGGTACAGAAAAATAATTCATCATAAAACCATGCCAAACCAGAATAGGTCTTTCCTCATCAATAACAAAAAATTCACTTTTAAAATACTCATTTTGTTAAAAAGTTATTACAAAAGGAGTATTTTCACCAAGGTTCCCTGCCTCATACTGAGTATCAACCCATTGCAATAATAAACTGGAGAGAAAATATGTATAAAAAGTTACATTTGCACCTCTGAAATGATTGAGAGGAGATTAAGACCTATTTGCTGGTTAAACAGACCACTTTGCAGTCTGTAAGAAGCAAGAGTATTCAAAAAGAATCTGTAACTATTTAATCACCTTAGTTTTGATACAAAAGCTTTCTTCTCTCTACTTGTCCCACACTCAATTTCTATGGAACCAGTAGAAATTTATCAAAACATTTGTCACTTTTTGCACTGGTTGCTATGTCTGTGCCTTCCCCCCAACATTACAGGAAAACTAAACAGGCTACAAGGACAGCATACTTTGAAGGGCTGACAAACTTCTATTTCCTAAATCAGCACATCAATTACATAAATAAGCGATACTCACTGCCAGCTGACTAAACAAAAATACAAATATATTTCTAAACCACAAACATTTCTCTCCACTACAATCTCATTATTACTATCAGTTAAAAAACTGCCACTTCCTCTTTGTAAGGCCTGTATTCAAACACATTTTTCTCCATTCTTCTGTCATTGTTTTAGACTGCTCAATGACTTGCACATGATCTTTTTCTCATTTTCTCAGACAAAATAAAAGTGCAACTTATTCAGACATTTAGAAAACAATACATTTATTAGAATTTTTTAAAGTAAGATTTTCACCATCTTCCTCAAGAATACTACTAGAAAAGCAGGTCAATGACCAATATTCTGACATTGTTGTTTCCCAGACAAATGGGAATACTGGAAACCAGTAGGAAAAAAAAGATTTCTGAGCTGACAGGCCCATACCTTCTAACTGTCTAGTGGACTATAGTCGGCCACTCCTTTGGAGATTTAGAGAACCTCAGCTCCCACAATTGGGAAGGAAAACCTCAACAGATTAAGAAAGCAGAGAATTCAAGACAGGATGGGACAGATGGATATGGAGAGAGGTCTTGACCTAGATGAAATATGCACACAGCCTCTGGGCCTCAGGACACTGGCTGCAAAAGCTTTTGGAGTGCATAAGGTAAAATACCTGACAACTCTTTGTCTTGAGAACCCCCTCTCTGCCTGCCAGAGAATACACCACCACTACTGAAGTCAGGAGCCTTGTTCCCACAACTAACTCCTCTTGCCTGATACCTCAGGTTGGCCACTGGAAGACAGTTATGGATGGATGCTCAAAGACTGCTTCAGGTTAATTCACATGCTATTTATGATTTAATGAAGATAATTGCATCTAAGAAAGGTTAAAGAAAAACTCAAAGAAAAACCACGAATCAAACACATACCAACCAATATGCTTCTAACTAGTCTGTCTGGCAGCTTTGTAGTAACAGTATCTAGTTTGGTAAGCCTGACCTGGATCCTTGACTCTTGTCATCTGTTCTACCAAGTTATTTGATGTAGCCACGTCCACTTGGTATTAGCGAAGATACTCTTTGAAGCAAAACACTTCTCGAAGTTCAGCTACATAGCACCTTCACCAAGTGATTATATAAAAGGGGGAGGATCAAGGAGGGGTTTAAGTCTTCATCCTCAACTTAAAAAAAAAGGTGACAGAACAACTTGCCTTTATGTTTGTCTTTCCTGGGAACTTGACAGAAACCTTAGAAGTTCATGTGGTGAAATCAACTGGCCAGCTATTAGAAAGTTTAGCAGGCTGAGTTGTGTCAGGTGACCTAGAAAGGTGGCCCCCCATTTCATGCAAATAAATGGATTTTAAATATTTTTGTTCAAATGGAGCTATTTCAGGTGATGCCTTTGCAGAGCAGATGATACTCCCTATGACATTTATAATGATACCTTTCGGATAGAAAACATTACATTTCAGAACAGCTGATTCAGTTTTGTTCCAGACTTTTAAAAATTATAAGGAAGACTATAAAAAATAGATTATTTTAATGTCCTTCTTTTAAATCCCTCTGACACAGCCTCTTAATCAGATTACCTTAAGGCTGATTTATAGCACAATCAAAATTAGCAATCCGTTGCATGAATTTTGTCTTTTTGCTAGTGTCTGGATCACAAATTTAGTTTTCAGGAATGAAAAGCAAAAGGATGCTTAAGAAATCAATAATGCTAAAGGTCTAAATTTAACAAAAGAGTAAGAAATGTAAGTTTTCTTTAAGTATCTGAATCCCACCTTGCCTTATAATACCTTGTCTAAACCAGCTTCAATATCTAGTGTAGCACCATTAAGGCTAGCTCTGGAGCATTTAACAGGGAGGACAGCAGAAAGTAATTCTGCCATTAAGCATTTTCCATGGAATATTAGAAACAAGAAATATGTGACCTTTCAAAACAAAACAAACTGTAATTGCTTGAAAAAAATAGGGCACTTGACTAATGGGAACATGGCGGTTTCAGTCCTCACACAGAACTAAAAAGCCTCACATACAGTTCTCTTCCCCACACATGCTGGTTTTTAAAATGAGGTTACAAACATCTAAACACACAGGTTCACTGTGCTGACAGCAGCAGGAAGTATTCAGCTCTACTGCCTTCACAGCAGGACTGTGACAGAACAACCTGTAAGGACTGGACTGCCCCAACAGGCTGAGCACTGCACTGGCAGCACTGCACTGGCAGCACTGCACTGGCAGCACTGCACTGGCAGCACTGTCAAACAATTATTTGCAACCAAACCAAATCAGCAGATTTGCAAAACAAGCACTGATCTGTACAAAAACAGTGAACAGACATGCTGTACCCTGCAATAAAGCAGACTACCCTATTACACTCATATAAAGGCCACATCCCTTATATATAATGCCAAATTTGGGGAAGATTGAAGCTCTCATTACAGCCAGTAAGACATACCTGCAGTGGCACAGACACGCTTGAAGTCTTTGTACAGAAAACTCTGAGCATAGGCACACCCTATCTGTGTGACTTCCTCCTTCCAGACAGGGGTCTGTTCTTGCTCCAGATCTAGGAGTGTTTTAAATATTTGAACAAGAATAAAGTTCTACATATCTGTAGTGCCTTTCACTCAAAGATCTCAAAGGAGTTTATACCTATAATATATGTCCCAACCCCTCCCCTTGTGAGGTAGGTATTATTCCTATTATTTACAGATGGGGAAATTCAGGCACAGAGGTTACATTATTTGCCCAGGGTCACACAGTGAGTCAGTGACAAAATAAAACAGAATCCAGATGTTCCGATTCCTGTTCGCACAATCCAACTATTAACAACCCTCATTTTCAAAACAGCCTTAAACAAGTACCAGTGTGCATAAGAACAGTCTTGGGTTTCATGGGTCACTCCTACAAGGCATAAGAAAGGAGAAAAAAACAGAAAGAAAAAGATCTGGAAACACATAATTTACTTCTGCAAGCCAACACATCGTTAAATAAAGTTTCTGCTAACTCCCCTCCCAAAGCTGAGGCAACTTGACTATGAGCCTGAGAAACAGGGTGGGGAAAAAAAGAGACTGATGGAATGAAAGTCTGAAAAAAAAAAAGTAACAAGCTAAACAGCTATGCTATAGGCCTTCATCTTGAAAGCACAGGGTCATAAAAAAAATAGGGCTGAGAGGGACCTCAAGAGACCACTGAAGTTCATCCAACCTACCCTGAAGCCAGGATCAACTACACCTACTTGTTTCCAACAGTCTGGTTCACCTGCTCTCAAAGACCTCCACTGGTGGAGACGCCATGCCCTTCCCCTGCCATCTGTTCCACCTTACACTATCACATGAGCAAAAGAGGACAAACAAGTCTTAAGATAGCTACTTCTGCTCTTCCAGTGGGGGTATGATGATTCCCAGGCCTGTCTAATGATCTGAATGTATTTCAGAGAAGGTAGTCTCCAGATATTTATTTGTTTCTGTTCTGGATTCCTTGGGAAAACATCAAACACTGATGTCTGCTGTAGTGTAATAGTTGAATATTATTTGAAAATACTGATTAATACCAGGATAGATACCAATATACTTACTGCAAGTGCCAAATCCTACAAGGTCAGTAACAAAAGACTTTGATATGATAATTTAAGCTCATTGCAGATTCAAGCTGCAATAAGAGGGCAGGGAAGACTACAGAAAAACCCCACAGCAAAAGTCAGCAGCTCAGAGTAGCCAAGTTTCACCCAAATGCAGACAAAAATCAGGCAGCTGACAACACATCTTCAGCAGAGGCAGCACCATATGATCTCTGTAGCATCCCTCCATCTCATCTGTTTTCAAAGTGCATTCTCAGTGCAAAAAGTAGGATTGAATTTAGAGGGGCTCACTGCCCCCAGTGGTTTCATATTAAGACCAGAATTCTTGCTTGAGTTCATATGCTGCAGCTTTGTGTGTGTTAAGTTCACTTCTGCATAGCGGAATGGTGCTGTCCTGGCTCTGCCCCTCAGCATCTATGTCCAATAGTGTCCGCTCCTCTGCAGGAGGACCCACCTGGAAAGGAAGCAGTGCAGGCAGTCCAGGTCTCTCTTCTACAGTGCTGCTGCTACTAGCAAAACAAGAGTCCAGATTGCTTGGAGTATCAGTACTTGAACTGTTGGCAGAAGATTCACCCTTGGCATTGCTGGGTGACACAAACCACCAGGGATCAAGCCGCTGCCGACTGGCTGCAGGACGTGGCCGGGGCAGGAACTCCAATGTCTTGGGTCTTTCCAGTGTGGGATCCTGCTGTGCATTCCATCGTCTCGGGGTTGGAGGAAAAACAATGTTGGGGTCTGGCAGGCGAGGGACCTCACCGGGATCTCTGCTTGGACTAGGTGTTTTTAACACACCTACCCAAAACAGACAGTGTAAGAGAAGAGGGAAAAACATGTTAGATGTCACTGCTAAGTGGTTCCTACAGGTCTTAGATTATTGTATATACAGTGCAAAAACATATTCAAAGCAGAAGACCTCCATTCATAATCTACAAACTCTGTATCTTCAATTATGGCGATCTGAAGATGCTGGAACCAAAACCATTACTGCATTATTCTGTTAACTATCTGTGTAAAAATAACCTCCACAAGCAATTCTTGTGGGCTGAATTAATCTGGTCATCTCAACGAATGTATAACCAACCAGTAATCATACTGCTTCTATCTTTATTCTGAAGACGAAAAGGAAGATGGCTGAAAACCTACCTGCTCCCAGTGCTCCAGTTAAACAGCTGCTGGAAGGGCATCCACTGGTTGGGCACCCATTGACAACCAGTCCACTCCCTTTGATGGCTCCATCAGAAGGTGTGCGCCTGTGTCCGCTTTGCTGGGTGTGGGAAGAGAGTGTCACGTGTGTGGGAGTCAAGGATTGGTTGGGGTCTTGTTTGAACCTCTCTATCTGGACATTGACCAGTGGGTTTGTAATGGCTGGCAAGGGAGCCTTGACTGTCACTGGGCTGACAGGCATCTCATAAACCACAATCTCATCACTGTCTGAGCGCAGCAGGGACCGGGTGGAATTACATTCAGAAATGGAAGACAGGGAAAGAAGGGTGAGGGATGTGGATGGCTCGCCTAGCAACAACAGGGGATCATCCTTCTTGAAGATCTTCCGGGAAGGGGGACTAGTGCTCCTGCGTGGGCGTCCAGCTCGCTGAAAAATGCTATCACGTTTCTTCTTCTCTTCCTTGGGCACCTCTGTCTCTTCCTCAATCAGCAGCTGACATTTCCCTGCTTCTAACAGGTCAAAACCCAGGCCTGCAGCAGCCAGCACTGCTCCACAACCAAGCAATGCAACCTCACATCGCTTGTGGTGGGAGCTGCTACGTTTGAGGCTGTTGGTGGGTGTCAGCTGTGGGGTACTTGTAGCAGAGTTTACAGGGGTGGATTCCTCATTGGCATCACTAGAAGGGCCATCCCACTCTTCATTCTTCTGAAATGGGATGCAGAGGTATGACTGATTGTGCACAGGTGAAGGGTGCACTTTGCCCTCTCCATTAAAACATTCGCTGTCCTCATCATCTGGAAAGCAAATGAAAATAAGGGTTTGTGTCAATGTAACATTTTACTGGCACATTTCATTGTTTCACAAATATACTTCAAAATAAGCTTCTCCTCAGAAGATGCAACTGTTCTCATAAACATCATTCATCAACTCCCAAATACAGTCTATTGTTTCCAAAGAAGATAGGCTGAGAGAAGTAACTGGAAACACTATCAAGGTGAAAGAAATTAGTGAAGCATTCATCCAGCTGGGATTAACTGCATAACAGCATTTCAAAGGCAACTTACACCTCAGTAACTTCTAGAGTAAATTTATGTTTGTGAGTGAGATGCAAAAGGTAGAAAAATTTTAAGGATTGCTCCTTGTAAGTGAAGGTGTAAGCATGCTGCACATGTAAATATCATTATTCAGGAAAGGAGCTGAGAGCCAGCATGGAGCTAGAGGAGAATTAACAGAAGCTTGTTAGCTTGACAGAGGGAGAAGCACAAGCAGTGAGGAGAACAAACAGAAAATCATGAAGGAGAAAGTGGACACTTGACAAAGAATAAAAGAAAAGCAGATACCAAACAAAATGAAAACTGTAATTGCTGTAATGTGAAGGTCAGGAAAGAGGCTCATTGAAATGTGAATGAAAGTGGGGATGAGAGTACCAAGTTCAGGGAATTCCTTTACCCATCTCTGCTAAGCTGGTGAATCCTGGGAAAGCAGGTGCAGTTCTCTGGATCTTCCCAAGATTTGGTGCACTGGATGACCACTGCTTGCATCCTTCTACCAGAGCTTTCAGACTGAAAATAGTAGAAGGATGTGAGAAAATGTACCATGCTCACAACCAGTTTCCATTCTCCCCTTATATATTCTCTATTAATCTACTTAAGAGTATGCATGTATCCATCTTAACTACATAGATCTGAAGTTCTCCCACAACAAGAAATTTTGTGATGTCTTTACAGCACTTTAAAATAAAAAATAAAGTAAAAAAAAAGTAAAATAAAGTAAAATAAAGTAAAATAAAGTAAAATAAAGTAAAAAAAAGTAAGAAAAAGTAAAAAAAAAGTAAAAAAAAGTAAAAAAAAGTAAAAAAAAGTAAAAAAAAGTAAAAAAAAAAGGTAAAAAAAGGTAAAAAAAAAAGGTAAAAAAAAAGGTAAAAAAAAGTAAAAAGGTCAGTTCCTTGTTTGTTACACTGTGGCGGTCAAAAGGCCTCTGCTGATAACTAACAAGCTACGAATGCAGAATAATAGAAGGCACCACTACAAAATTCAGATGAAACGTTTTCTTTCTAAATCAAGGCATAATCTTTTTAAATCTTGATTTCTTTTTGCAATCAATCTTACCATGGCAGGTAAAAAATAAATTGTTCAGCAAGGGGAAGGCAAAACACCTCCAAAAATGTTTTCATGTGAAACACAAATGAACAATGAAATTCAAACATCATTCACTAGGACAAATAAAATAATAAGCTAAAGTCACTGTAAAAGCCATGTCTCTGTATTATAAACCCCAATACTTTTCTTACAAAGAAAATGCCTTATTGAAATACAGTTAAAAGCATAAGTTCTAGATTATGGAGAATAAAGCCCAAGAGAAGAACCCAAACCCAAATCCCTGCTTTGACCTGTATCTAAAGATATGTTATTAGGCTCCTGAACTTATTAGTAATCTCTAGTCACAGATTTTCATTATCATCATCCTGCACTAGTTTCATGACATCAGACATGTCAATAACTTTGATTAGCAGCACAACATCCTGATAGATCAATATTCAAAGTTTTATTATTAATTTATCAACATAGTCTGAACTGGAAAATTTCTGGTGGCTTTCTCCACAAACTCCAACATGAAACATCAGTATTGGTGAAAAGCTACACACTTAGGACAGGCAGAAATTACATGGAAGGAATAAAAAGATCTGCAGATAGTCTGAATGATTTCAACTGGACACACAAAAGCATTGATTTGTTATTGAAAGAACAGAAAACTTGGAGATAAGATCTCTTACAGAACCATTACTAACTTGCATTGTTCTTGCTAAGACATGTAATTAACTACCATCATTCCCTTAAAGGGAAGTTCAACCATATGTAAGTTACCTCTCATGATTCTTATTTTCCACCAGAATCATTCCGCATTTCTAAGACAGCTTCCATTCCAGGATTTCAAAAATTATATTGGGGTATTTTTTTGCCTTGGTATGAGTTTTTCCTCTGCTCTCTACCCAATTAGAGATACTTGTCACCAAACTATACTGCAGCAATAGCAAGGCCACAGGACCTAAATTTGATTCAGCACATGATCAGTTGGTTGATGACTGTTGTGTGAATGTGGTACAGACATTACACCAAAAGCATCCCCTGCAGTCCTCAATTGCATTGCAAGTCCATCCCCATTAACCATTCTGGCACATGCAGTACCCTGCTGCAATCTTGAATCCAAGCAGCACAGCACTGAACCTTATTTGTCAAGGCAAATAACCACAGGGTTTTATTACAGACATGCCATTCAGTGTGTGGGTCTGTTCTGAATTACTCCCTCCCTGGTATACTCAACTGTATAACACAACACACCAAATAACGTGTGTTGGATCTAAATTACCCAGGTACACAACATGCCTACCTAGGGTACATACTATAAACAGAGATGCATATTAAGGGAAAGCTGGTGAGTGAAAAGGAACCATGTTAGCAGTGTGAACACCTCCAAAACTGAATCTCAAAGCTCTTACAATACAGCTAGAGAACTACTGAGGAAGATGAAATTTCCACAGAACTGGGAAAACACATACTCAACTTAGTTTCTCAGAACAACCTTCCCTTGCAAAGAACAGACTGAAGGTTTGCTGTTACTGTTAAAGTGCAGCTCAATCTGAACAGGAAGATAAATAGCTACCAGAATAATTTCAAGACCTGCTACTTTTGCCTTAAGGTTATAAAATTTTCATCCTTCTCTTTTATTTTTTGCTCCTTCTCTTTCCATTACAATTACAATCCTTCTCTTTCAATTACAAGCAGACCTCAAAGACCTGTCCAGAAAATTGCTGCACATCATTTTAATTAGACAGTGGTGTGCATTTCAAAACAATTCAAAACCTGCTGACTTAGAGAATGTTCCTGCTAGAGCAGTATTGTCTGCTACTGCCCTAAGGAAAGAGAAAATGGAACGATTTGAAAGCACTAGTCCTAAAACTGTATTTCAATCACCAACATAACTCAGGAACCTAAAGACTTCTTACCTGTAATCTATTCAGATTAACTAACCAGAAGGTTGTTACTTACTTTGCTATATTATGACTAAGTCACTTTTCTGTTGCCTTTTTCTACTGGGAAGTCAAAGGCACCTCTTTTTAGGAATGGTAAGATGAAAAGTTTTATTTGCTCAGCAAATTGCAAAAAGCTTCCCTACAACTCTAAGACAGCATCTCTGTTGTCTTAATACCATTCTGTAATATCATGTTAAGCCATTAATACAATACTGCAGTGAATAAAAAAATGTCTGTTGCCAGGCTCACCCCTATTTAGCTTGCAAGACTTTAAGAGATAACTGCTAAAGGATTTTAAGTCACATTCACTATCACCTTCCATAAAATTAGTAACCTGTGTGAAAAGCAGGGTGACCATCACCCATGCCATAGTGTGTGACTAACCAATGCCAAGTTTAAAGACAATCAAACTTCACAGTATATCCTTGAGAATATACTGTAAGATCACAACTGAACTGCCACAGAACTAGCCCAACATAAAGCTTCATCCAATCTCTGCAATTCAGCACAAAACCCTTCAGCTGCTGTTCATATTCTTTATGTTCAAACATAAATAGGGAAGTGTGAATAATCACTGCACCATCTTTTCATGACTGCCTTAACTTGGGTTAAGACTAACATCACCAGTTCTGAGGCTCACAATGCTATTCTAGAAAAAACGTGGAGAATACATGGAAAGTGATAAAAATTATGAAGATAAAAGTTCCCTGGATCACTAAGTCCAGTCCCACAAGCAGCAGTAATAGCAGCACTTATGCTACCAGAATGGCTTTATAGAGAATACTTGAACTGGACTTCTCTATCCTACATTGAGCTCTTCATTTTACCGCAGTTTTCCCAGGGTTCAGTACTTGTGTCGGCCCTGTTTCATATCTTTATCAATTATCTGGATGAGGGGATTGAGAGCACCTTCAGTCAGTTTGCAGTGACACAAAGTCACGTGGAGGTGCTGATCTGCTGGAGGGCAGAAAGGCTCTGCAGAGGGATCTGGACAGGCTGCATTGATGATGAATCAAGGCCAACTGTGTAAGACACAATAAGGTGAAGTGTTGGGTTCTGCACTTCAGTCACATCAACCCCATACAATGCTACTCATCCCCATCAATGGGGATGAGTGGCTGGAAAGCTGCTTGGGGGAAAAGAATCTGGAGATGTTGGTCAACAGGCAGTTGAACGTGAGCCAGCAGTGTGCCCAGGTAGCCAAGAAAGCCAAAGGCATCCTGGCAGTAAAGTGATTATTCTCCTGTATTCAGTGCCAGCGAGGCTGCACCTCAAATCCTATGTTCAGTTCTGGGACCCTCCAGGAAAGACACTGAGGAGCTGGAGCACATTCAGAGAGGAGCAATGGAGCTGGGAAAGGGTCTAGAAAGTCACTCATATGAAGAGCAGCTGAGAGAGGTGGGGCTGTTTAGCTTGCAGAAAAGGAAGCTGGGGGAGACCTTATCACTGTCTACAACGCCCTGAAAGAAGGGTCTAGGCGGGGGGGTGGGGGGGGTGTCAGCTTCTTCATCCAAGTAACAAGTGACAGGACAAGAGAAATGGCCTCAAGTTGCCTCAAGTAGACCTCAGGAGAGGTTTAGATTAAGTATTAGGAGAAATTACTTCACTAAAATGTGGTCAGGCATTGGAATAGGCTGCCCAGTAAAGTGGTGGAATCATCATCCCTGGGAATGTTCAAAAGGTGTGTGGATGTGGCACTCTGGGAAATGGTTTACTTGTGAACATGGTAGAGGCTAGGTTAATGGTTTGACTCAAAGGTCCTTCCCAACCTTAAATATTTAATGAAGTTTTATCTCCTTACCCTGTAAAATTAGAACTTAAAAATACTAAAAAATATAAAGAACTATCTTTTGAGTCACTAATATTTACTGCAACTCTGCTCCCCTTAATTTAAAGTCTGCAGTCTGGCATGATCTCAGCAAGGAGTGGTTCATTGTATGTTAGCCAGACTGCCCTCTCAGCAACACTCTTACATTTCAGATACTCTGCAAAACTCAATATCCATATTGAGTCTCCTAGGAGAGATTCTGAGTACTACAGAACATCTCAGTTGTAGAGAGAACAGGAGCTTCATGAGCAAACACAGTTTGCAAGCAACTCCTTCCCTGTTGTCTGTGCCCAAAAACAATCAGTGCTTCAGACTGTACAGCAATGAACAGAAAATGGAAGAGGTCTATTCCCAGAATTCTAAGAATTTGATTTCAAGGTAGAAGTGTTTTCTTCCAGCTTCAGTGATCTCCCACCCTTTTACATAAATAAGGATTGTAAAGTGTGACATCTGTTTTAATTCCTTAGAATGCTATCCTATCCTTCAGTTGTACAGTAGGTAAACCACAGGCAGCAGTCAAAGAAGCTTTCTCCATATTGTCCTGCCAACCTATCTTGAGTGTCTTAGAGAGAGAACATATTTTAGTAGATCCAGGCCATCTTGCAGGGGGCTACAATAGTGATGCACTATGCAAACATCAATTTTTCACGCATTTCACACCTGAACACACAATAGGAAAGATAAAGATTATAACCAGCTATTTTATTTTCCCTGATAAAAACCATGGCAAGAGTCAGACCATCAATTTATCAGGGGGAAAATGTTCAAACTCCACTAAAAATTACCAAGCATTCTTTTAGAAGGCCAAAACAGCCCTATGTTTAAAGCAGCATTCCAGCAATGATTCACTGGAGCCCAGGAATAAATAATTCAGACACACAAAGAGGGGAAAAAAAAAGCAAACAAAAAAACACCACAGAAAAATAACCTATAGAAACAGAGGTACAACCTGTATTTCTGCAAAAGTCACTTTCAGGATTGATTCACTCAAAGTACATGTCCTTTTCAAAAGACTGAAGAGAAGATATTTGTTTGGCTTTATCAGATACTTTTTATATACTAGCATTTAAAACAAGAAAAAGCATATCTGAGAATCACAAGAGAGAAGCAGTTTCAGATATTATTTGAAACTACAGAAAGCTGAGCCTTGAAATAAAGAAAACCTACTAAAGAGAGTTTTGCACAGCTAAGAAGTTTGACAGCTCACAAATACACCTAACAGTGTAATAGCAGATAGTGAAACATCAGTTGCTAGCAAATTAACTGAATGCAATTTTGTAAACTGCTCTGAATCTCTAACATCTCTGGTACAGGAAAGAAGTTTGTGAGCAGAAAGGTGTTTGTAAGCAGGTAGGCAAATCTCCTGTGAGCCAGCTCATGACCGGTTTTAGAATCTGGACATGAGTCTTCCTCCAGTCCCTCTCTTACCCCTCTTCTCCTGCACCTAGCTCCTTGTGACAAAGTGAGCTTGGTCCCCAGGTGCGTCCCTTTTTCTTCTGGCCTCTCTTCTCTTCTTCCTCTCCTTCCTCCTTTGGAAGGACTGAGCTTCGTCCCCATGTTTTACTGCTTTCAGCAGGTGTCACTTCACAAGCAGAAAGAACAGTGGAAAATGGGAAGGAAAAACAGATACACAAATTAAAAGAATTGATTCCACAGCAGCATAAAGAATAAAACATAGGCCAGAACAGGAATAGTAACAAAAAAAATTCCCATAATTCTGACCATTTATAAACACAAATCTAACAACCAAATGCCAAATTAAGCATTCCCTAATCCTTCAAGTATAGGTAGCCTCTCATAGAGTAGCTTTATTCTATCACTGGTTTCTCTTTAGAACTACCATTTTGAAACCAAACACACAAGTGCTGTGATATCCAATACAAACACTAAACATTAGTTAACACAATTTTCATAATTTTAAGACATGCATGTCTGCCTAATTCTGTGTTATTATGGGAACACTATTTGCATGACAAGTGCCCTTGTTCTCATTTCCTTAAAACGGTAACTTAATACACTACAGCAATGCTTACAGATCTACTCTGCAAATAACTATTTCTTAAAATTAACTTGTACACCTAAGGAATGTATTTTCTATAGAAACAGCAGTATTTCAAGAACTTGGGTAAGCGTGGTTTTAACTCTGAAGGAGGTGATACTCCCTTCATCACCACGACACTCCCATTTTTCTCTCTAAATGCATACATGCAAGGCACAAGGCAAACATTTTAGGTACTTTCTTTAACAGTCCTGTCCTAGATATGGAATCTTGGCATCTTAACACGCTGACAGACCGCACATTTCCCAAATTCAATACTACATTGAGCTCCTTACACTGTATGGCCCTGAGTCTGGGAATAATGGTAGGACTTGCAGGAGGGCTGGAGCAGCTACTGATCAAACTTTTCCTTTTGTCCATCGTTGGAGAAGCCTGCACAGTGAATTTATGCTGAAAATCTGTTTAGCAAAAGAAAAAAGAAAAAAAAAAAAGCAGAAAGACAGTTAAAATTCTCTCTTCTTTTAATATAAGAAAGAAAGAAATAATAATTTATGTTAACTTTCAAAGAGTGCAACTTACAGGATCTATGTAGAAGTGAAGTTTTAGAGCTAATTGCTATTTGCCCATTGTACACACCGAGAACTCAGAATGAAGATGTGCATTCAGAGCCCTGAAAATGTATCTTCTGCGTGTATGTGTGAAACACATACACATACATTGTGTTGACTGACATGCCAAATTACATCCCTGTATGAATCCTTGCACCTTACCTCTCAGTTACTTAAGCACCACCAAAGATAGGTGTTTGCAGACCTAAACAAAGGCACAAGTAACACACATATAATCATAATTTATTTTCTGAACAGCTAATGTCTCCCAGAAAACAAAGAATATAGTACAAGTCATCATCTCTGATGCAATGATAAGCACTAGGTGATTTACAAATCCCACACTTTTGTTTTTTTGACAAATTTGAATCTCATAAAGAATATGCAGTAGAAATGCTAAGGATTCAGTGTTTCTGAACATCACCATCTTAGCTCTTAAGAGTGACTTTGCCAACACCTTATTAATATTTAACATTTTTTCCAGAAGTCGCTTCTGTGTTAATAGGAGTTCACCTATGAACTAGCAATCTAGGGCTTTAGTCTCACAGCTATCAATGTATTTTTGGTAATTTTTAGATTCCTACACCAAAAAATCCAGTAGATTATAGTTTCTCCTGCAGCATTATGTAATATATTCCCTGAGCATGAACCTCCATCATCTTGTACATACATCCTTAAAAAACTGATTATTTTGAGTACTAACATGTTAAACTGCAACATCACATTTTTACAATAAGCCATATATAGCCAATGGCTAACAAACACATAACATTTCAAATTTACTTCTGGCCTTCATCTTGGAACTTTGGGCAATGCTAGCCACAAGATTTAAATTTAAAATTAAAATTTAGTTTATTGATCTCAAAGAGCCACATTTTTCCTGAAGTACATCAAATCCTTTCTAATGTCTAGGGGTCTAGTAGTAAGGAATTATCAAACCCACAGGTTTGCTCCCATTTCACTTGGCACAGCCTAACACATCACCAACCTGAAGGCAAGCTGATATGATTGCCATCTTTTAACTTGAGCCGGCTCCTCTTGAACTTCCCCATGCGTTTCTTGACCCGAGGCTTCTCCTGACACAGCTGGTGGATGATGATGTTGAGCTCCCTTTCCAGGATGTCAATCTCACGTTCTGCCAGTTCCTGTTCGCGCCTTCGAAGCAGCTCCTCATGGTTCTTCTGTTCAACAGCAGCACGAGTCAGCTCTTCTTCCCATGTGCGCAGCTCCTGCAGGGAGATAAGAAAGTAGAAACAAAAGCCTACTGTGTGACCTGTGGGTTAAGACTAACATCACCGGCTCTGAAGGCAGAACTTCAATGGCTTGTACCCACAGAACCGAAAACATCACTGGTTAAAGGCTCAGCTGAGAGCCAAAAACAATCCTCAAGGACTTTGATGCTTGCTGTTCAAGGCCCCTCGTACCAGTATTAAAATTCAGACACAACCACTTGTGAGGCCACACCTGAAATCCTGTGTCAAATTCTAGGCTCTCCAGTACAAGACAGACATGGACATACTGGAGAGGGTCCAATGAAGGGCCATGGAGGTGATTAACAGACTGGAGCATCTCTCTTCAACGAGAAAGGGCTGAGATACATGGGTCTGTTCACCCTAGCACAGATAAGGCTTGGGTGGGGTGAAGGGGGATACTACCAGTGTATATAAAAACCTGAGGGAAGGGTGGAAAAAAGATAAAGCCAGCCTCTCTTCAGCAGTGCCCAGTGACAGAACAAGAGGCAACAGATACACACTGAAACACAGGGAACACTCTGAACACTTCTTTACTGCATTCTAAGCACTGGCACAGGTTGCCCACAGAGGCTGTGGAGTCTCTCTCCTTGGGGATATTCAAAAGCCATCTCGACATGGTCCTGGCAAAAGCACATAAGGCAAACCTTTCGATCTATCCCTTGCTGACAAAACAAATTAATTGAAACTGTCCTTGAAATCCCAAAATCCCACTGTGCTCCTCTCCTCTCACCACAAGGACAAAAGAATTCTGCACTTAGAATAATTCTCTCCAGATAGCCAATTCCAGTGCAGAAGGCAAAAACTGAAGAATTCAAGTTAAACATCAGATAGATAATCAGATAGATTTTAATTTAGATGGTTTTAATAATGACACTGTTACCCGGCTCATCACCAGGGAGACTTGATACATTTTACTCAAAAAGTGAACAGCACATAAAATTATTTTCCCATTGCTAAAGAGGAATACAGTACTCAGCCTGAGGGCAGTGTAGTTAGTACCGCTTAGCTGTTTGTCTGTTGAAGTTTCTGGTTTTCAGAAACTGTTCCTACACAGTTACGCCATGGGACAATGGTAGCAAGGAAATGCCTATCAGCTAATTTATTTTTCCCAAAAGGTACTAAAATAGGTGAATAGAAATGTTTTAAGTATTCTGTAGAAGTTGACTTCTTTCCTCTGACTCAAAGTCTTCTTTTCCTTCTCTCTGCCTCCTAAACCCAACCTCTGAACCCAGATCAAGACAGCTGCTTATTATGAGTTTACTTTCAGGCAAGAGACTGTGAACTTACAAATATATCCTTGCACTAGTGATTTTGGTTCTGCTGCAGTTTTTCTTTCCAACAACGAAAGACAAACTCTGTTAGGACCTTAAATTAGACACAGCAAGCTGTGCTTTCTGCAAACATGCTTGAATAAAACTTCAGCTTTTTCACATCTTCTTTTTGAGGCTCATGGTCACCATTCCTGTTATTCCTGCTAGCATTTTTGTTTCCTGCTATTTGCCCAGACGGACTTCAGTTATAGCAGTTACTGGACCCTTCCCCTGGTAGCACTCATGATTATTATAGTCTGTGCATTTTGGTTGTGATCAAAACATTGAAAACACAAACCCAGCAGAACCAAAGCTGCAATGTTACCTAGAGTATACATATGCTGAAACTACCCCTCCCACATTTCCTGTTAATAGTTTTCATTTGGTTTCTCAATTAAGATGTGAATAGTTAAACAGTTACCAAATGCAATAAACAACTCATCACAGCAATTTGCACAGAGTATAATGGAAGCTCACGACAATATCAGAAGAAGTAGCAGCTCAGGACGTGGATATTTCTTTTTCTCATGATTCTACCCTTGTGTGTATCATAACCTACTATTAATCTGGGGACTTAATACAAGCTCCAATAAAGCACAGACAAAATTAGCTCTGGGATACACTAAACAGTGATCCCCATTTGAACTATGAATGGGGAAATTACAATCCAGACAGCACAACCAAGGAGCATTGCTCTCTACTTACCTTTTCTTTGGCTCTGAGCTGATCAAACATCTCTTGGATCTCTTGTTTCCAGTCTTCCTGCAGGGAGTGGAAGGAATCTTTGGGCATTTCAAAAAAACCAGACTCTTCTATGGCAGTAAGATGGTCTAGGATAGTGGCAAAGGAAGGTCGTGAGTGTGGGTCAGGGTTCCAGCAATCTAGAAGAGAATAAAGACAAACAACTGTCAAGCATCTCTAAGTATGGAGGTCTGAGAGGATGGGTAATGCTTTACTGATCCCCAGTGGCTAAGAGTGGCATACACACTACCTGTCTTACCCTCGCCTTCCCACTGCCCACTTGCACTATCGTCAAGTATGGAATTCATGCTTGTACAATATCCAACAGCACCTGAAATCTTGAACTACCTAACTACCTAGGTCTCTAGGCTCTACTGCAATAATATGTCAAGTAAAATACAGATGTATTAATTTTACAGGTTACACCTTAAAGCATTTTTTAAAAAATAACAAGTAACTTCCTTAAATATTTTGCTTTAAGATGCACGTGTGTTCACAGAGTAGAAATACTAAGCAAGGCTCTTGCAAATACTTATTTTATAATAAGAGTTAACAGCCATACTGTAGGAAGATATCTATCAAGAGATTTTCCTGATTCTAATTCTAATTCCAAATTCTAATACTAAGCTGAGTCATTATGAATCTTTTCTCAGAATGGAAAACCTCTCCTGCAAAGCAAACTGGGCATAACTTGTGTGAAAATGGGAGATTCAAGTAAATACAGACATCCAATTGTGCATTTGAAGTTCTCCTATTTTTACAGGTTCTTTTTTATTATTTGAGAGAAAATGAATCAGACATTTTTCTTTTGCTTTTAGGAGAAAACACAGATAAACAAGTTTTTTTTTTAAATTTACAATCTAATGTAATTATTCAGCCAATTACTGAGCTCTAAAAACACAGAAATGAAGGTAGCCATCTTACCACATAAGGCAACTCAATGAGCAACAGTACAAAAGCCAATGTTTTACAGTGATGGGAATTGAGCACAGAAAACAGAAACAGAAAATAGGATGAAGCAACCCCTCAAGCTACAAACAACCCCCCAAACCATTTTGATTTAACAACACTTTTGAATAGGAAATCTGCACTCATTCAGTCCTAACTCTTCCTTTCCCCTCATTTCTACTCCAGCAGAAAAAAAATCACTTTCTCATTCTGTGTTGTCCTGTACCAGCATTTACATGGGTTCTTGTTCAGCAAGTGTCCTTATTCTCTTTAGTACTGCTGGATGCCTGCATGCCAAAATTCCAGAGCAACCAAATAGAAAAGCTTCATATTCACACGTAAGGAATACAGCTTTTCTGTGTGAATGGAAGTAACTAACACGTGGGTCTCTCTCATCATATAGCATTGCTCCACATGGTCACTGGACTTAAAACACACATTACTACAGCACAAGACAGGAATTATAAAAATGTTCTAAAAGTTTTCTAGACCTTGAAGTCAGAAAAAAGGGAACATTCTTAAAAATATTAGATGATGTCCTAAAAGACATTCATCAAGGCATGATGAAAGTTCATCAGTTTTGTGGACTGAAGTACACCAAAGGGCAGCTGTAATTAAAAATAAAAATCACTTCACAAAACCTGTGCAACAGCCAAGGCTTGGTTCTGCAGTTCCTTTCTTGGATTTTACCATTACTGAGATTTTGCATTTGGGAGTTGTGCTTTCAAAATTGTGGGTTCCATGCTGGAACACATTTGTGTTTATGGCTTTTAATTTGCTTCTTTTATGAAAGCAGAGAACTGAGGATGTTGAAGAATGCTCTGATGATCCCCTGCTGCTGGCCAATTAGTAGCAATGGGTGTTACAGCTGGATTGTCAGTGCCATAATCCCTGTTTCTTTACCTCAGGTTTTAAGCATGGCAAAGCAAACATGACCCGAAGTAAAGCAAAATGCTGCAGCCAGCCAAACGCATGAATGAGTGAACAGGATAACTAGCAGGTGGCCCGTGGCTTTTATTTTCCCAGGCCTAGATCAGCCATTATTTGCACTAATGAGGACATTGTAACATATAACTCTTTTCTGTGAAGAGCAAAAGTTCAGCTCTGTTGTCTCAGTGAAGACCACCATGGCAGTAATTCAAAAGTAAAAGCAGCATTAGAGGAAGAAGAGTTCACCCGAGATGGGAAACAGCCTGTCTGAAAAACAGCTTTGGTGAAGGGGCAGAAAGTAATTGGGTTTTTTTGTTCTCATCTTCGCCCTGCACAGGGAGAAGCCAAGTATTCCAAAGCCACGTGGGCGCTCACCCCTCTGCTGCTGGGTTCAGGCACTGGCCATATGCCTCTACCTAACTTTCCCAATAGAGGGCATCATTTTGAAACCCTCACTTACAATTATGAAATCCAGGAAACCATGTAAAAATAAACTACCTGGCACAACACTGAGCTGGTAGTTTCATCACCTCTTTCCGATGTAGTTTCTCACTTTACACTGCCTCCAAGCTATTCTACCTGCAACTCTATTGTTTACTATCCAGTAAGATATTTCTCTTTCAGCAGAATATACAATAAATTTTTACTTTAAATTAACTGAAGCTTGTAACCTAAAGAAAAGACCAGTGAAAGGCAAAAGCATTCCAAAAGCAGGAAAAAAAATCCATCAGAAACATTTTCTTCATGATTCTTATTCATTTCTTGAGGCTAAAAGTACCACCAGAGGCCACAGAGTATCAGTTCTATGTCGAGACTTATTCTTTGCTCACCAAGACTATAAACCAAGCTTGATTTCTCTTTATCTTGTTTTCCTTTCTGCCAGATAGATATAAAAATGTTTAGCACATATATATATATAAACACCTAGAAATCCTTGGGAACAGGGACACTGACAAAAATACTGAAGGTAAGGAAGAGAGAGAGAGGGCAGGAGAGAGGAAGGCAGAAAGGGAGGAAGGAACAGCTGAAGCTCAGGACACACAAAAGTAGTTTCAATGGCCAGCAGACCAGGTCACATGAGTATACTTGAAAACTACCTCACACGATCCTTTTCAGTAACTATGGCAGCTCTGATGACTAACTCCTGTATTTTTTTCACCTCTCTGTAGCCCACCTTGGGTATGAAATACCTCCACAGACAAAGCAGAAAAATCACATAATTCTGACTGAAAATATGGGTTGTTTTGGAATGTCAAAGCCATATTTAAACCCTCTCCCTCAAATATCAATAGGATGAAGTTTCATTTCAAACCAATCTGCCACTACTAGTAAGATGCTTGAGCTATGAATTTTAAAACAAGTTAAAGACTTCAAACGGGATCAAAATATGTGAGGTTTTGGTGTTGGCGAGTTTGCACCACTAGAAAACAAGCTAAGTGATGACAGCAATAGCCCCCCTTTTCCTATAAAGCCAGTTGATAAAAAAATCTCTTTCATTATTCTGGTAGCAGACTGACTGTCACAGCACACTAACAGCCAGGCCTGGCTCCCACAATAACCTGCACCACTGAATGAAGCCACTGGAAAGATCGGTGCTCTTAGATAACAGAAGAACACAAAGAGGCCATGCTCAACAGCACTCTTAAAACAGCACAAACCACACTCACACCACAGCTGGCTTACCTTCCATGAGTTTGGCAAAAGGCTCAGGACACGTGGAAGGGATCGGAAGGGCAAGCTTATTCATAGCAACACCGTACGCTACTGCAAGACCATCGATTCCTCGGAATGGTACTTCTCCTGTTAGCAGTTCCCAAAGCAGCACACCATAACTATTGGGAAGAAAACAAAAAGGAGAACAGGTGTTTGACTTTAACACAGCCTTTGTTAAGCAACAAGGTACCTGAACCTGGGAGTCTGGTATACTAAAGAAATTGCAGTTTGCAGGACAAGCTTATCATGAATGCCAAGCTGGTGATCTGCCCTATTTTACCTGCTTTTTTTTTTTTTTTTTTGAGTATGAAATAAGACGACATTTTCACCTTTTAGGCAAAAATAATTTTCTCTCTGAAACTGGGAACAATCTGAAAACCATAGATCTTCTAATTTAGTTTCAAACCAGGACCTCTCAAAACACCCAAAAATATGAAGAAGGCTTGAATGGTGGCTTGCAATTTCTAAAAGTAAAAAATACTTCTTCAGAATTAAGTTGTCATCTTAAGATGTTCTACAAAATACTACCTATGAAGTTATGGAAATAGTTCCAGGACTGTTATCCCCCAAAGTATATGATGAAAAACACAACCTCAGAATATTTTTTCTGCTTCTAGGAAACCCCAAAGAGAAACTGCTTCTTCATACTTGGTGACCTGACAGTTTTTTCTTCCATTGTTCTTACTCTCTTGTGAACCCATTGTCCTGGGGTGACTTTTACCACCCATTGTGTTCTGTGGTAGCGAACTCCACAAACTGAATGATGCATTGACAAAAAACACTTCTGTGTATGTGTTTTGAGCTTGTCACTTGGTAATTTCATTGGCTTCCCTGTAGTTCTTTCAATACAGGAAAGTATAACATATGTTCCCGATTAGCTCCTTCCATGCTGTCCATGGTTTCACAGGCTCCCATACATCCTGCCTAAATCATCATCTTTCCAGACCCCCAAATGCTAATCTAGCTAAATTCTAATCTAGTCACTATCCTGAACAGAAGCCATTTCATATCTTTCACTGACCTTGACATCTTCTGTTGTCTGCTCATACCAGCAAAATCACAAAGTTTTAAAGATGTGGGAAGAGGCATAAATGGTATTGCGTGTTTTGTTTCTTTCCTATTAAATTTTCATTTGCCAGTTGCCTTTCTTACTCTTTACAAAATACAAAAATGAAATAAGTTATCCATAGTAGCTCCAATGTGTTTTTACTGAATTGCAATAGTAAAATTTAGAGCCCATAAACTGTACACATGAAATTCTCCTATAGGTACTACTTTGTATTTATTACCAGTACCATCTATTTTAGCATTTATTATAGTAAAACTTTTCCTCATCTCTCTGCAGTAGATTAATTTTTCTTATCCTGAATAACTTTGTATCATCAACCATGCTACCTAACCATTTATTTTTTCCAAATCACTTATGATTGTGTTGAACAAAGAATTCCCCACCAAGAAAAAATATTTATTCCTTTAGTAATTAAGAATTGATTAAATGATGGGGAAAAGATTTTCCCTCATTTCCCACATCAATTTACCTTATTTAAAAGCTTATGATGACCAATTTTGCTTTAAGTCTATAAATCCAAATATAGCATAAGCAATCTCACCACTTACCCATATATTCTATTCCGTGTCTCCTTCAAGCATTTTCACTTTTTACAAGGTATTACATTTTCTTCTACAAAAGTTGACTCCTCCCCAGATATGCTCACAGTTCTACCAGCTCCCTGCTCTTTAGTGCTGCTTCTACCATTGAGAAGAACTCCAGATCATACTTACTAATCCTCAGGAAGCTCTTTTAAGACCTGCCACCACATCTGCTGCCTTCCATTTCTCTGGTACTACACCAGCTTTAAGCAACAGATTAAACAGCACAGTTGTTAACTCAGCTGATTTTCATGTTCTTGTAGAAATCTTGGATATTACTGTAAATCTCAGGAATAATTACTGCTCATTTAATCAGTCAGTTTTAACACCTCTGTGAATTTTGCTTCAGGAAGATACGTCCTCCAGGCTTGACTCCCTTAAAGAGAAATTTTCAGCTTTAAAACGCCTCTTCACTCTATTCTGGCAGACACAAGTCACTGAGTTTCTTTTCCTGGTATAACCTTATCTTCACTGCATTCCCACATTTTGCTCACCTCTGGGCTGTTATGTTCTCCTGCAGGGTTCTCACCTGTGCTGTGTTTGAAAGCAAGGGATTTGGTTTTATGCTTTTAGAAGACTCTCCTCAGAACCCTTTTATCTTCTTCGTTTTATGTTCAAATTGACAGAGCTCAAGTCAATGCATAATCTTCCTCATTTGGATACAGACTTTTTTAAAAAGATGTCTTTCAGTAGTCTTTTCTACACTGTCTTCTTTGTTCTTTTAAAGGATTTCCCATACATTCACTCAGAGCTTTAAAAGTGTCCTTGAAAGATATCTGTGTTGAGTGTTCCCCTTCTGCTGTTTTCACACAAAATTTCCATTGTTGACAATAATCTTGAGATTAAACACTACTGTAATGGACTAATTTTTCTTAATTGTGCTTGCAAAGATATAAAATCTAAGTATATATATATTTGGACCATGTCCTACTGTACAACCTTGAAGGCCTCCTGAGCACACCTGAAGACCAAATGAAAAACTGCTTCTCTTCCTACAAGCTCCTTAAATAGCTGCTCCATGGAAAAGTCTGAAGCTAAAATATTAAGCTTTTCTTGTTTCAAAACAACAATTTCCCTATCCATTTGGGGTACATTATCACAAACTCTGGCAATCTCCCTTCCACCCTGTCACATCTTTAAGACTCAGTGTTAAAGTTGCTGCTGCTACCTTAATTGGACACCCTTAACAGCACTTTTCCTACTTAGATAAAGGATTTTAATCACTAAAGATCCAACCTTTGCTGCTAACACAGCTATTTTACTTTACTAAGCAGATGATAGTATTTTTTGACCTACATGATCTTTTGCTTTTTTCTTATGTAATTCACACTCTTGGTATTATAAATTATTACTTCTTACTGTCTCAAGACCATTATTTGAAAGAAATATAGAGTCTAGGGAGTTCCCATTTTCTATTTGGCCTTCTAGGATTTATAGAACACTTGAAGAAAATGAAAACTGAACTGAATGTATATTTGGACTGTCTAAATCCGACTGATCATTCATGATACTCTTCTGTTTGGATTTAACTGTTGATAGTAAAAGGTAGTAAAAGCTACCAAAAAGCTGTATTATTACTTTAACACTAGTATCGGATAAAGCACTACTGATGTGCTCAAAGCACTTCTTTTGCAGGGTAATTTTTAAAGGAAAAAGGAATAGACAGATTGGTGTTTCTTCTAATGTGACACTAGAAGTGTATATTGCAGGAAAGGTCACTTTACTTTTGACAAAACTCAATGCCACTAATACTTACAGTTCATTACTGAGAATACTGCTTCCACAGAACTACGGAATACTGTTTTGTGGCACTTGAACAATAATCCCAAGTGAATAAACACCAAGAGAGGTGCTGAACAGAGTGTTTTCCTATTAACTCTCAAGCAGAAGATTGGGAAGTACAAAGGAAAAAGCTAGATCAGAAGACTTCACGAAAAAAAGGCATAGAAAGAAAGAAACAAGGGCCTCTACTCATTCTCACTGGGGAAAAAGTGATCAAGTTCATTTATTTTTCCAGCACCTAGCAGTAATTTTTGGACTTCAATTACGAAATGAACCATGTGACACAACCCATGCATCCAAGTCAACTGACACTTGTGTGAATAATTAACCATCTTTCAGTGATCCAGTAATCCCTTAAGCCATTTAACATCAGGTTCAATCCTACTCGCTGGATTTTCAGGGCAAGGGAGGCTGGAGGTCTGCAGGATTTCACATGTGATTTTGCCACCTCCCTTGTTAGTCTATCAGCTTTTTAAAAACAAGTCTTTTATTCTCACTGGTACTGTTCCATAGTATTTGTACCATAGACTTCTCTTATCCATTTCCCCAGGCTCAACACTTTCCATAAGGAAGGAATTATCAGTCCAACAAAGAGATCCCAGTTCCAACAGAAACTAGAACATGACTTTCATTAAGAAAAAAACCCCGAACTTCATTACATTTTTACATCTATTAACAGCTGGCATTTTGCATGTTAATGAATTGACAGTTCCAGAGATGACCATTCCTGCCTGTTTCACAACAATCAGTAGCATGTGCTTCTCCCAGGTGAGTTTCTCCTAATATTGCCAGTCAGCACTGATCTGTCAGGTACTGAAGTCTTGCCAGTGCTTCATTACACACAGAAAACTACAGAAGCCTACAAGTGGTCAGCTGTGGATGGAAGTGCTTGACCAACACTAGATTAAAACTATTTATTCTAATGACTGAAGTTTCTAGACCCAGCACTGAATGCCTGAAACTTCCTCATCTGCTAATCTGATTGTTTTAGCTGGTATTCCATTCCTAAATGGAAATTAAATTCCCAATTATTTCACTGGTCTCAGAACACATATAGCTTAAAAAAATCCAAATTGAGGACCATAGAGAACTCAGATGAAGGTTGTATGATGCATTTATATTCCACATACCAATAGTACTGACAATATGACTGTCTTTTAAGCAGCACAAGTAAAAAATATAAGTGTGCAGCAAACAAGAAATATATTTAAACTGCCAAATGACAGAAAAATTTTATTTATATGGCTGCTAACATTAGCGTACAGTACCAGATGAGCTGCAATACCCATGCTTCAACTTTATCCCTGTAAATCCAAAGCAAATACAAACACATAACAGATTTACAGGAATGGACTTATTTAAATAAAACTGTAGTTTCATTCTCCTCTGCGCAGTATAAGCACAAGGCTTCTACTGTACATCTAGAGCCTGTGGGTACAGCACAGCAAAATTCACAGCAACAAGTTTTCACTAGCAAGATTTACTAAGCACTGGTACTATGAACAAGCTTCACGGTGGCCCAGACCCTGGTGATAAATACTGTGTGTGGCCATTCCTCACTCTTTTTAAGTTCTTTGCCAACCCTACTCTAGAGTAAACAGATGGACCTTTTTAAATGGACCTTGAAACATGTTTTGAAAAGATGAAGCAGTCAGTTACGGTAAGACTGACTCAGGAAATTTCAGTCCTAGCATGCATCTTCTTCACCTGCTTGTGCAGTGAAAACGCAAGCAGAACAAAATTCTTGTTCAAAGGCTGGGCAACAGTTCAGCCAGCAGTATAATTCTAATAAGCTTTAAAGAAAAGGTGTTGAAATAAAAGGGCTTGTGAACATTAGAGACAATTCTGTTGATGCTGCATAGACCAAATGGAAGGTTGTCAGGCAAAAAAGAAACCCTGTGACTCCAGTGATTAACCAAGTGGTTGAACTGGACAAGAGGTGGGGCAAGTCTAATAGGATAAAAAACTTCATCCTGTTAAGAATTTCAGGTTGCATCCTTGGGTGGGGACAGGATTTATTACACAAGTCCATGACTGCTTTTGTAAAATCTAGGGCTTACAATCATTGACAGACTAGTAGTGATTGCACTGGCAAGCATTTGTTCTCTGCATACATGTTCTTTTCAGCTTGTTTAACTATGAATAGAGGTTTTAGCCACAAAAAAGAAAAGGCTTATTCAGAGACAATATAGGAGTTCTCTTAATGGTGATAACTCTGTTTAAGGGAGAGTATTGTGAGGAACTCAACTGATTTTCAAGGGAAGACTGGTAACTTTAACAAGAGAAAGCGATGAAGGAATCTTAAAAGCAGAAATAAAATATTCTGAAAAATGAACAAATAATTTCAGTTAGTTACAGTCCTTAAGTGATTCACAGTCCTTAAATCAATGACCAAATTGGTACTTTTGCACAAGTATTGAGGCACTTGTGTTACCTTCATGAAAATCACCAACCAATTGAATAATTCTTAACTTCTTAAAACAAATTCATACTGGTACAGAACATTTACTGATCTGTTCATAGCATGCCTGGATTAGTAAAGTTACAATTTCAGGAAAACTGTTCCCCCTTTCCCTCAGGTTACCCTTAAAGATCCTTCCTGGCACTGTTTCAGAGAACAGCAAGTTTAGGTTTGAGCTTGACAAGCTGTGTAAAAACCAGTACCATCACCACGTGCACAGAAAAGGTGCACAGCTTTAAGATTTTAATTTCTGCCAGACTTCACTCCAAATAAAAGCCCAGTTCTTGCTCAATTTGTCTCAGATTAGCTACTACATTTAATTACACGGTCAGAATTTTATCCATGCTATTAGAGTGCAAAATACAAGTTCACAAACTTGTCACAGGGCAATACATTATCTACATTATCTATTCAGCAAAACTGGACAAGGAAAATGAAATTTCCCACACCAAATAGCTGCCATAAAAGCTAGACAAGTCTACCAGCTGGGTTATTTCTTTATCTTGACAGGTTTTACAGAATGCACTCACTTGTGGAGAAGCATTAGTGGCCAGTGACAGAATCTTACTGCTAAGACAAAGATCCTGACATTTCAACACCTTTTTCACCACAAAGAAACCAAAATTCTCTCTATTTCATTTGTTTCAGATGCTCAGTACTAATTCTAAGTCATCCAGCATCCAGAAAAGTCACCGTCCTGGAGCCATTTACTGAATTCTGTATTTACCAATCCACTTAACAGTGGTATTCAAACTCAATTTCTGGAAGTATACTGGCCAACCCCTACACTCCTCCCCACGTAATTAGCTCATTCACAAAAATTCCAGTGCATTAATGGAAAAGACAATATATACATGCAAGTTACTATTTATGGATTACATACTCAGATGGACCCAGATAAGAGATTATCCTATGTAAAAGGCTAGAAGGATGGAAATAATTAATGAAATAATTAATGAAATTATTATAAAAGCAAAAAACATAGTATTCAGATTGAAACAGCAAGGAGAATTCAATTAAGTAAAGTGTGTTTGTGTACACATACATTAGTGACAGATTACTACCAAAACAAAATATTTCAGAATTATCTTGTATGTAAAACAGTAAAAAAATAAAATACTTCTCAGATTGTATTATGGCCTTTGATTATGTCAGTTAATAGCCAAATAAGCACAAAAAGGTTGGTTTAGATAAAGCAGAGGAGATTTGGATTATAAATTCCAAAATAATCTGAATGAAAATTTATAGAACAACAAAAATTTGAAAGCATGCAGTAGCTGGTCCACCACTTGCTTTCTACAGCAATGAGGCAAGTCTGACAGACGGAAAGCTGGTGGATAAAGTTTTCTTAAGACCTGAATTTTAATATTCGGTTCACTATTACTCATTCTTATATATAAAAGAAACTTCCTGGCAGGTCTAGTTACTCTTTAGTTTCCAATCACTTAATGCCAAATCAATACCTCCAAACATCGCTGCCTTTGGAGAACATGGAAGAGCGGATGACCTCAGGAGCCATCCAGGCATATGTCCCAGCTGCGCTCATTTTGGTAGTTTTATGCCATTCCCTGGCCAAGCCGAAATCCGTGATCTTCAACATCTTGTTGCTCAGATCTCCATTTTCCACCTTTTCGAGTATCAGTACTGGAGAAAAGTGGGGGAGGAAGGGGAATAAAAGGTATGCAGAGTAAAGCTAGTATTTATGCAAGAAAGATTTTCCTGGAGATCCCCCAAATTTCAAGATTTTCCCTGGCTTTTTGTTATTCAAACATACCATCCTCTATTACATATTATTTCAGGCTGATCCCTTCATCTGACAGCTGAACAGTTCTTTAGCAAATAACTTCAAATTTAACCGAAGTACCAAGCCCCAGAGAAGAAATATGTAATAACATCATTATTTAATATAGTGTCTAGTGTCATTCTGTATAATGCTCTGCTAAGAGGAAGTGAACCACTGTAACTTCTAGAAATCCAGATAAGGGAAGACATTTCCTAATTAATCCTCTCTCAGCAAGCCAGTAATAGCAGCTTTTTCTTGAACTGCTTAGAAGACTTTTTTGTAAATCCAGATACACACATAGGCTGGATATACCCTTCATGTAAATATGTTAGAAGCTCTATGCACAATTTTTTTAAGTTACTATTGAAAAAATATCTTTTTAATCAGTAATAACATGCCCAATTCCAGAATGCATACAGACCCCCACAGACTCCCTCACCCATCATTATTAAACTACTTTTTTCTGCTCTGTTTCAGTGGCAAAGGAGTCCAAAGAACTTTAAAAGAACCAAAATACCCAAGAACTTTAAAAACACCTTGAGGCAGAACTCAAGAATGCTGTGATATAAGACATATTCCTCTGTAGCTGGGAAGCTGTACTGTTACACCACCAAGTGTAAACCAGAACCCACAAGTATACATCCTGCTTTAGCAGCAACTAATTATCCTCTCTCTTTATATTAGTGCAAAGTGACACACGAGTTGCACCAGCAATGCAACATAAAGCTACAGAATATGAGGGCATTAGACTTCCAGAACTAATGGAACCATAAGCCCCTGGACTGATTTTAACCCACTTTGTAAAGCACCACAAAGAAAAAAAAAATATTTGCATTACTATTAAAGGAAAACAATATTTGTATTACTATTATTCCAAAGACTTCACATCAAAAATCACCGAGCCAGTTACATACCATCATTATGCAGCTACTCTGTTTTTAATGTCATTACAGACACTACAGACAGAGGCTCTTAGAAAACATTCTTCTTTTTCTATGGATGCATCAATTGCAAAAAAACCAAACCAAACCAAACCCCAACCAGACAAAAGAAACCCCACAACTTCCGTAATCAAACAATCATGGATTATAACAAAATGTATAAAAGGCAAACGTGCTGCAAAAATTACAGAAAATAATCTTCAGGACAATTTTCAGCAGTCCATGAAAAGACTCAAGTGTCAGCCTCAAGCTAACACAGGTTTTTTATCTGAGTCAGGGAGAATCATTCCTTCTAATAACTAAAATGGGGGTTCCCACTAAATAAAACCCAAAAGTGTTATTTGAACCCTTCTGCATTATAAGCAACACACATTTACAATGTTAAAATACTGCTTTTAGTTCAATAATAAAGAAATTGTTCATTCCTTGAAAATTAAAAAAAAAAAAATCATTTACCCTTTTACAGGGCTTCAGAATTCACAAAATACTACTTCAAAGATTTTTATGGGACAGCTCAAGGTGGGAAGAAATTAGACCAATGGTTAAGCTCCCAGTTCTTGCTTATTTTGCAAAATTTTTAACATGACCAAATGCCTCATTTTCCTAATCACAGAGAAAAGAGATTGAGGCCTAGAGTTACTGTGCTCTTCATTTTGGCAAAAGCATATGCATTTTTAGAGCAATACTTCAGTGCACAACAGAAGCACCACAAGAAACCAAGGTACAGAAGGTTCCTTCCTTTGGGCCTCTTCAAATAAGTCTAACTTTTTTACTTCTTTCTAGCAGATGAACAAGTGCTAAAAGGAATTGCTAACAAGTCACTCATTGACTGCAAAGTGAAAAGCTTCTTAGAATGTATATAGTGTTTATTTTTCTAGCTTGTACCCATTCTGCCTAAAGAACTGGCAGAATAACAAAATGTAATTTGAAATTTAAATGCAGTAATTTAGAGATGTACAGTGTTGTTGTAAAGGTAAAGTAAAACTTTGAGACAAGAAAGTATGGGTTTAGGGGATTTTGGGTTGGTTTTTTTTGCTTCCCTCCGTAACAAATGAGGAACATTATGATTTGATTGTTCCACAATGAGGAAGAAACAAATTTATTGTTCACAGATCATATTCTGTCTGAATGAGCTCAATAGCAGGACAGAGCACCATGTATCACAGCTGATACATACTTTGTACATACCTTCCTGGTAAGAGGCTATTTAAATCTAATTACCATGATTTGTGTTCTGTTCTAACAAAATAATTAGTACTTACATAGATCTTTTGTATCCAGAACTTGTTTTGTCAGATGCAGGGTAGTAAGAAAAATTATCATGACAAAAGACCACTGAGAAGGACAACAAAAGAGACTGAGTTATTGCAAGTCTTTGACTCTTTAGTTACAACCTTGGCCCCTTTTCTATTTCTTTGTAATAACTGCTTGGGATAGTAATCTTACAATCCAAATTTTTGAAAACTAATTTTAAAAATGGTATCTCTTTCCAGCATCTGTTTCAGTTCTCTTTATCATGTTATTCAGTATCAACGGGCTCACTTGTAACTGCCAGGAGTCACCCTTGTCCATCTGTCAGATTTTCAAACCAAAAAAACCAAAAACCTTACTCTCCCCTCTTGTTTTTGCCTGAATTTCAATGAAGAACTTGTAAATAGGTGAAATATTAATTAATTTCAATCTCCTCCTCAAAAAAAAAAATCTTTTATGCAGAACACATGGAAGGTTGCTAGGACACTGCGAAAGCATTTTGCTTATGCTAATCAACATGGTCTCGCTTCTGAGTTTTACCTACAATTATTACACCTTGTTTAATACTCTCAGTGCAAGTTCTCTTCTGCAAGTACTACTTCTGCACTTGTATTAGTCCATGACAAACAAACAGGCAACATGTTCTCTACACTTAGAGAGTTAATGAGAGAGTTAACTTCTCCCTCTTTTAAATTTCGATCACTCAGGACTGAGGTAACAAGAGCCAGATGATCAATATCTGTCCTAACTACATTGAGTTTGCATGGCCAGGTTTTGGTAGTAGGAGGGTGGAAGATGCTAGAAGCTTTTCCCATGTCCAGCACAGCTGGATATGCCACTGGCCAAGGGTGAGCCAATCAGAAGTGATGGTAACACCTTTGTGACAACATATTTCAAAAGAATAATTAAAAAACCAAATAGTTATTGTGCAGATGTAACTGCATCAAGAGAAGAGTGGAGTGAGAATATGTGAGAGGAACAACTGACACCAATGTCAGTGCAGAAGGAAGGGGAGGAGATGCTCCAGGCACCAGAGCTGAGCTTTCTCTACCATCTGTGGAGGACCACATGGATGCAGAGATTCACCTGTATCACATGGAGGAGACCCATTCCAGAAGAGGTGGATGCCTGAGGAGGCTGTGACCCTGTGGGAGGCTCATACTGGAACAGGCTCCTGACAGGGACCTGCAGACCTGTGCGAAGGTTTTCTGGCAAGACTTGTGACTGCTTGAGGGACCCATGCTGTGGCTGTAGGACTGCAGCCTGTGAGGGAAAAGTGCAGGAAGAGTGACCCATGTTGCAGCAGTTTTGTTGCCTGTGGGATAGACTCAGGCTGGAGAAGTCCATGGAGAACTGTCTCCTGTGGGAGGGACCCCACACCAGAGCAGTGGAAATACTCCTCTCCCTGAGCAGCAGCAGGAACAATGTGTGATGAACTGAGCATAACCCTGATTCCCTGTCTCCCTGTGCTGGTGGGGAGAGGAAATAGAGCTGGGGAGAAGGGAAGATGTGGGTTTTTTTAAGGTCTTTTACTTCTCATTATCCTGCTCTGACTTTTTACTACTAAATTAAGTTGATATTTCTAATTCAAGTCTGTTTTTGTCTGTGATGGTATTTGATGAGTGATCTCTCCTGGTCCTTGCCACAACTGATGAACCATATGTTATATTTTCTCTCCCCAGTGCAGGTGCAGAGGGGACTGACAGAGGGGCTTGGTGGGTGCCTGGAATCCAGCCAGGCTGAACCTACCAAACAACTTCAGGCACAGATACAGAGTACCAAAGAAGAGCCAATATACCAAGGAAGTAAATACCAATCTTGTCTGCTGATTTTAAAGCTCTGTGAGTGATACAGGATGATACAGAGGTTTAAAATAGGTAGAAAATTTAATAGAAAATCTTTCATATTCCTAGCCTTCAAAAGAGAGACTGTTTGGCAGCAAAGACACTGGACCTAGTCTGCAAGCAACCAGGGAAGAACAAGTGCCAAACGAGCAGGAACATGAAGAACGTGTGTCAGCTTGTTAGGGGCGGATCAGCCTTTCCCGGTTTCAGCAAGGCTCATGCAAGAAATCTCTTCCTGTGTGCATGCACAGAGCCAGCCAAATTGTAGATGAAGGTCTGCTATGCACTACTGCTCCTCTTTTTCCTCTGTAGCACAGGCTAAAAGCTGATCCTAAGTAGCATGGTAAAAACCAACCAGCAGTGTGCAAAGGGGACTGGTGAACCAAATCAGGTATTAAAAGCACATTCAAACAGCTTTCAGCATCCAAATGCTGCAGCAAAACAACTTAACATAGGAAATCATCACATTCTTTGAAAGTGCAAGTGCAAAGGAAAGCAGGGTGGCTTAAGGCAACACTAAAATTGTCAGCAATCTTCAGTGAAGTGTACTGTGCATGCGTGTCCTTACAGGAGTAATAATCCATTAGTGCTCACGTATGTTTTCCTGCAATCCCGAAAGATTTGGAACTTGTCCTATGGAAAATAAGCATTTGACAATGAGAAATTAATTACAGCTCACAGAAATTCTGTCCAGCAAGACAGGATTAATGAAACTTTATTACCACATGGACTTTCAAGAGTCATTACTGACCCTTGATTTGACCCCACTGTTTTATTCCTTGAGACCCAGGCAGACTGCAAGTGCTGAAAGACAACAGCCAATCA